GCACTTTTGGCCAGCTGGAGAGGTGTGAGGTTCGAACTCCAGCAACCTGAGGCTGACAGCTTTGTGGAAGCAGCCACTTAAACAACTGAGCTAGGGCCAGGCCCCCTAGAAAATTAGAAAAATGTAAAAAATATAAGAAAATCAAATCCACCCCAAACCCTGCCACCTAGAGACAGCTAAGGGTGACAGGAATTTCCTTAGGTCTTCTGTAGGTGGTACGTAGGCAGCTGGATTATGCTCTTAGAAGCTCCGAGCTTGCTTTTTTAGTGTATTTCATTTTAAATTCTTTGGAAAATCATTTTAATGGCTGTATAATATTCTCTCTTGGGCACATACCAAGCTTTACAATTTATTTTGACCCAGAAATTTCTCTGTAAGAGGTTATCCAGAAAGTTGAAACTGTCAGCAAAGTTGATGTGAACAGTTGCTCAGGCCGGTATTTCTGGTCTTCCTGTTCTGTTTTGATAATTTATAGGTTCATCTTATTGACTGTTAATCTAAAGTCTATGTAGGTACCAACCTTGTTTTCACTTTCATGATTTTTTGTTTGTGTCTTTCAAAGTTATAAAGAAATGTGTATAATCAAGGAACACAAGAGTGTCTAAAAGTGGGAGCCCCTTTTCCAACCACCCACACCCCTCCCACCCCCAAGAAGACCTGACTAGCCGGGCACAGTGGGCACAGCATAATCCCAGCTGCTTTAGAAGCTGAAGCAGAAAGATCTCAAGTTCAAGGCCACCATACACAACTCAGTGAGACCCTGTCTTGTAATACCTAAAAGCCTGGGGTAGGGCACAGTGGCTAAGTGCTCCCTGGGTTTGGTCCCTAGTATTATAAATGGGAGGGCAGCTGTTTTGAACAGCTTGAGTGTAGTTCTGCTCTGTGCCAACTCACCCTGGAACCAGATAAATATTTAGGGTTATTCTATATTTCGATGAATTAACACTGCATTTCATGAAATTCTCCTTAACTCATTTGTGTCTGTGGTTGATTTTAGCTCTTTTTCTTTTTTATGAATTGAGGACAGGGTCTGTAGGGTGTGCAGGGCCTCACTTATGTAGATAGGACTCAGCGATTCTCCTGTTTTCAGCCTCCCAAGAGCTGGGATTACAGGTGCAGGCCATCACACCCACCAGTCTCAATGTCTCAGCATGCCCCGTCCCCGGAACGCAGGGAATCAAACCCTGGCCACTGTGCTCTGCCTAAGCAGGTGCTTTAGTCCACTGAGCTATCTGGCTGGCCCTGATTTTAGCACTTTTTCTTCCTTGCCAGGACTCTGTTTGATCCATCCCTAGCATCATCAAAAGAAAAGTACAGAACTAGGGCTACAAATTCAAGGCCAGCCTGAGCTACAGACTGAGTGAGTTAGAGCCAGTCTGAACTGTCTGGAAAGATCCTGTCTCAACAAAACAAAATGAAACAAAACAACTTTCCCCAAAATATATCTGCCATTAGTTCTAGGAGCTGAGAGTTTTTGAGTTGTTGGTTTAGTTTTGATTTTTCCAATTCATTAACTAGGTTTTCATTTTCCTGGTTTAAGTGATACAACTTGGAATTCCTGTTAAATCTGGTTCCTTTAACTTATTTGTGAAAGGAAAACTCCTAACTCATCAGAAGCCCCAGAGAAAATTGTTTAGACTCAGCTACTTTTCCATCATGTACCAAATTTTAAAATAATGAAGAACAGAAATTTGCTGAAATTTTAAGCAATTTAGTCACAAGGCATTAAAAATTGTCAGGAGAAGGTCCCATTTTTCTAGAAAACTGGCATTTTTGAAAGCTATATAATATAGTGCCTTCATAAAATTATTTCCTGTTAATGTGGAGAAGAAAATTCTCTCATTGTCAGCGTCAGCCTTTAAAGTCAAAGCCTCCCCAGTGCTCAGATTAGAGGCGTGCACACCCTGCCTGGCTGTTACAGCGTCTACCATTCTGGCAAGTTCCTCAGTTTCTGAGGATTCTGTCTCTTTGTCCATAGAAATTGAATTTCAAAACAAAAAAGTTGCATCAAATGATTTATTAGTCTATGTAAAGTAATTATGACTCTGCTTGATCTTTCTCTCCAGAGCAAAACAAAATTCTTATTTATTTATTCCACACTAAGAACCCTATAGGGGCTGGGGAGATAGCTCAGTAGAATAAGAAGGGCCTGAGTTCAGTCCCCAGTTCTACCAAAAAAAGACCCAAAAACTAAACCCTGCTAAAAAGTCAAATCAATGGAACTGAGTCCTATGGCTCTTGAAACTCTCCAGAATAAGAGGTCAGAGGGCCGGCCAGATAGCTCAGCGGACTAAAGCGCCTGCTTAGGTGGAGCGCAGCAGCTGGGTTGGATTCCTGGTGCCATGCTGGCCTGGCCTGGGGGAGTGCTGAGAAGGCTCTTGAGACTGGGCATGGTGGCTCCTGTATGTGGAAGTGTCCTGGGGTGGGGCCCAGCCAAAAACCCCCATGAAGTCCCTTCAGGTTTCATGGGACGGTCTGCTTTCAGGGGATTTTGCAGAGTGCCTCCCGCGCACCCTTTTCACAAGGTCAGATGTAGAATTTTATACCTGTGTGATGTCACTCAAAAAGCTCCAGGTTCTAGAATATTCCATATTTGGATTAGGAAAGGTCAACCTGTACCACAATTCTGTGTGTGTGTGTGTCTGTCTGTCTGTCTGTCGGTCTCTTCTTCCCTCTCTCCCTCCTTTCTTCCCTCCTTCTCTCTCTTTTCTCTGACTTTAGTACTGGGGATTGAATTCAGGGTATTCTACATCCCAGCTCTGTTTTCAGTTTATTTGGAGCCAGGGTTTTGCTAAATTTGCTCAGGCGGACCTCAAACTTGTAGTCTGCCTGCCTCAGCCTCCTAGTGTGCTGGGATTAGAGGTGTGCACCACTATTCCTGGTAACTCACTTTATTTTATCTGGCTTGTTTTATTTTATTTTATTTATTTATTTTTTAAATGTATTTAGTACAGGATCTATAAGGTCTCACTACATAGATTGGACTCAGTGATTCTCCTGTTTTCAGCCTCCCATGTGCTAGGATTACAGGTGCTTGCCACCACATCCAGTCTCGATCTCTGTCTGGGGGGTGGTGCACGGCAGGCCCAGGGATCGAACCCCAACCGCTGTGCTCTGCCTAAGCAGGTGCTTTAATCTGCTGAGCTATCTGGCAGGCCCTTATTTTATGTTTGATCACCCAAAAATAACAGCAAAAATTTTGGTACTTGCAAATATGACTTTATGAATACTGTGGAGATACCAGTTTAGTTCAGTGTTATATGGGTGTTCTGTTTTGTTGAGGCAGCGTCTCAATATGCAGTTCAGGCTGGCCTTGAGCTCAGTGTGTAGCCCAGGCTGGCCTCAAACCCAGGCTAATCCTCTGGCCTCAGCCTCTGGCGTGCTGGGATTAGAGGTGTGCACAACCACACCCAGCTAGTTTAATGTTTTAAAAGTACTTCACTTAAAATAGCATATGGCAATCATGATGATCTTCTGAGGGCTGCAACACATAATTAGGAAGCGAGTGCATGCGCCCGCCCGCCCGCGCGCACACACACACACACACACACACACACAGACACCCTGAGTGTGTACCGTCATTGTGCACCTTGCCTCATTCTGCTCAGCTCTCAAAGTTTTCGAGGACCATGAAGATATAAAAAAAGACTAGAGGGGCTCGGGAGATGGCTCTGTAAAATAAGCACTCAGTAGAATAAACTCACAAGGACCTGAGTTCATCCCCTGTTCAGCCAAAAAAAGAAGAAAAAAAAGGACTAGAGTCGGAAAGCAGAAAACAGGCCAGATGGAGGCTTCTCACCCGACGGAAGAGAAGGAAGGGAGGAGGCGGAGGAGGAGGAAGGCCCGGGCTGCGGCGCACAGTCACATGTGCAGGCTTGGGTGTCACCCGGCCCCTCTGCCCGGCAGCTGCCACGTGCCCAGGCCACGGGGTCGCCCCGGCTCTAGCTACTCCCCACTGCGCTTCAGGAAGATTCAAGCGAGGACACGGCGACGCGTGCCCGAGGTCCCGGAGCTCAGCCTTGGGGAGCCCCGAACACGCGAGCGCGGCCCCACCTGCGCCGAGCCCAGGGATGCCAGGCTGGCGTGGGGACAGGGGCTTGGGCTGGGCTAAGAGGCCTGCTGCCCGCTGCCCGGCCGGCGACCCGCCGCTTTCTAAGGGACACGGGGTCCCCAGGCCAGGCCGTGGCCGGGACGCCCGCGGTGACCCGGAATCTTCTGCCTTTCCTGTAACAGCGGCCCGGTCGGGGGCCAGGGCTTCCGGGAAAGCCGGGTCACCCCGACCGCGCGGAGGACACCCTGAAGCAGGACGCTGCCCCCGGGAGCGAGCGGGCCTCGGGCATCTTTGCAGACTCCTCGCCTACGGCTCGAGACTTCTAAAAATAATTAGAAGCTCCGCTGACATTTAGCAGAGCCAGCTCACTGCTCACTACAAGTGGACAGAACGGAAACTTTCCGCCTGCCCAGAGTAAAGCCGCCCAGGGGAGGCTGCTGCAGGGCCTCGTCCTACGGCCTCGGGGTTTAAAATAGAAACGGAAAATCGCCTCGAGTGATTCCCTTACTGGTCTTGTGTCGGTGATTAGGACATTCTGTGCCTCTGATAAAGTCCGGGGTCTTTCTGCTAAATTAGTGGATATCAAGGTCAAGTTGAAAATTTGCATTTTTCTGACATCCTTTATTTATTCTTAGATGATGAGCCATCTGGACTACTCAACAAATGAAGAAAACCCAGTGCCTGCTGACGAGCAGATTGCCCCGCAGTGATCCTGTGCGGCCGCAGTAATATGCTCTTGATTGTCTACCAATGGAGTTTGACTTTCTAAATCAACTTTTGAATTGACATCTGAAAGCATTTTCAATGACATGTTTGCAAATATATATTTCTATAAGCTGGTATTGATAATTATAAAATAATTAAAATGCATTTGCTTTTAATTATATTGAAGTTGTGCCTTCACATTAATAAAAGCATATGGTCTGTGTAATTTCCAAGATGTATTATATATACTATATATCTTTAAAAATTCCTTGGCCCACCCTTACTGAAATATGTTTCCTTCAGCTCTAATGACAGTTTGAAGTGCAACTGTCACAATGTTTTTGCACAGATTTTTCTTGTGAATTAAGAATTATGCATGTGGTATCCTCTCAAGGAATAACTTTAAGACCACACAAGAAGGCAGCTGTTGGACAGGCATAGTTTGGGCCTTATAGCATGCAGAGGTTATGAATACATAATTGGGGAATAAATGGAAAGATTTCAGTATGTAAGTTTTTAAAAATTGCAGTCATTTTTTAAACTTGCGAAGCTAAATTATTTAGATGTAGTGTTTGAGTATTTTTTCAGATGTAAAGAAGCATACAGAAGTAGTCGTACCTGTGGTTCATAGTAAACCACCACTTTCTTTGTTGAGACTGGATTTCATCATGCAGTTCAGGCTGGCTTTGAAGTCACTAGATAGCCCGGGCTGACTCTAGCTCTCCATGATTCTCCTGCCTCAGCCTCCTGAGTGCTGGGGTGACAGGCATGACCACCACGCCCAACTAAACCACCATTTTCTTGAAGATACAGTTTTGGTTTCTGTACTTTTATTTTCACTTTGGTATTTCTCATCTTTGAAATTGAATTCTATTGATGCTAAACTTTGATCTTTTAAAAAGAAAATTATATTAGCACTTATGGCTGCCCCACAGTTGGAGGGTAGCACCTTTAACAATTCCCATCCTTGTCATCTCCTCCCGTCACCCCTTGCCCTGTGGCCACTGCTGTTGACCACGAGGAAGATGGGTTCCTAGCTTGTGAAGTACACGCAGACTGTTGGATCTGAGTTTTCACATCAACACAACAAGTACCTGCTGGTAACTCCCCACTTTAAAAAACTTTTCTTATTCTTCACAAAATTCTCAAGTGTGGCCTTAACTGTTATCCTTGGGGTCAGAGATCAAAACATCTTCATTTTCTTTTACTTTCTCTAAGAAAGTCACAAATGGCAAGTGATTGCAGAAGCAGCAGGGGTTTGCATATCTGTGTAAATAATGAAAAAAAATATATGAGCAGATTTACTCTTTCATCTTAAGGCCAACTCACCTTACTAAAAGATAAAAAATACCTAAGTATGGTGGCCCATGCCTGTAATTCTACCACTCTGGGAGGGGGTAAGACAGAAGGATTATAAATCTATGCCTTGGTCAGCGAGATAGCTCAGTGGACTAAGTGCCTGTTTTGGCAAGTGCAGGGACCGGGGTTCGATCCCTGGTCCATCATGCCATGCCAGCAAGCCAGTCTGGGCGTGGCGGTGCACCCCTATAATCCCAGTGCTGGGGAGGCTGAAAACAGGAGGATCACTATGAGTCCAAGCTGCGTAGTGAGACCCTGTATCAAATACACAAAATGAAAAATAAATAAATTTATGCCTAGCCAAAGCAAATTAGACTCTGTCTTGACATAGAAAAAAGATAAATACCAAGACTGGGGATATAGCTCAGTTCCAAGGCCCTGAGTTCAATCCCTAGTTAAAAAAAAGAAAAAAATCTGTATGGTAGTACAGCTTTATAATCTTAGCATTCTGGGAAGCTAGGTCAGGCAAATCACAAATACAAGCCCAGCCTGGGCAAGTTAGTAATTTAGTGAAACCCTCAAAAAGTCTGGGCGAGTGGCTGCATGGCAAAGCACACATCAGGCCTTCCATGTTTGAACTAAATTTAGCAATAGATGCTTTTGTTTAATTGTTAACTTTTACAGAGTAAATTGCAAATAGTTAATACAGCTATGGATCTTTTTGCCTATGACAGATAACTTATGTGATAAGTAGGAGTTAATCTTAATTTTCTTCCATTATGTAAGTTTGAATATTTTTCCCAAGAATTTGATTTATTTGGCAGACTCTGATAGGGAAAAGATTAAGTGCCGTTTTAAAACTGCAAGTATATTTTCACTTATAATGTGAGTAGTATGATTGCCAAAATCCAGCTTTTTCAGTAAAATTATCCGCATTCTATTTTAAACTTTATGATAGTCATAAGCCTCAACCATTTTTATGAAGAAATTTAAAGTTAGTTTTTAGTTTTGTCTCAACTACAATGAAGTAAGACATTTTCTCAAAGTAATTTAGTTTCATTAATTAATAACTGATATTGCTTATCCTAGATTTTAGATTTCACCCTAGGGAAGCATTAACTATTATATCTAGAAATTGAAGTCACTTGGTACAGATTTTACTTTATCTGCCCATTAGTTATCAAAGAAGTTAATGTTGGTCCACTTTGCTATGATACTCTTCCTGACTGATTAAATAGATATACATAATAATAAAAATCCTAGAGTCAATCCTCAATATCAATCTTACATTGTATTTAATTTTTCCTGCTAATAACCTAGTAGAAAATAATTACTTTATGAAGTATTTTATGTTGGGAGTCAAAATGAACAAAAAATAGGGAAGATGAAACCTTAACTCTTCCTTATTTACCTACCATCAATAACTTGAAGAGGAGGAGAAGCTGAATTTTTTCTTAAATATGCCTTTAAAACAACAAAAATACATTTTATTTATTAATACTGCAAAAAAGTGATTTCCTAGGCAATCCCTATGAACCTTTTTGTGATGTATTAAATAGAAATCACTAAATATCTCAAATTATAATGTACATAATTTTTCCATCACTTTAGTTCAGCAAAAATAAGAATCTTGTGAAGGAGGACCTTGACCCCTTAACACATTGTGGGGTTCTTCTTAGCTTGTAGATTTTCTTTTCTTTTCTTTTTTTTTTTTTTTGCGGAACCAGAGATTGAACTCAGGCCCTTGCGCTTGCCAGGGAAGTGCTTATTCCACTGAGCCATCACCCCGGCCCCATAGATTTTCTTAGATTATCAACTCCTTGTCAGTTAAACCTGTAACTTACTACTCTTTTAAAAGAAGAGAATTTTGAGTCATACGGTATTTTCATTTATACATTGAAATTATACATCCATAAGGATCTTGATGGAAGTACGTGTTTGGAATACGTACAAATGAGCTTTCTAATTTTCTTCACTCAATTTCTACTTCAGATATAAACAAATAGCTTTTTTAATATTGGACTAAAAATACTTGAACAGATTTGCCTAATCTTGATCTGTAAAATGTTAGCCTGATGTCAGCCAATGAAATTTCAGCAACGTAAGAATTGTACCTCACGCTAGTGGAGCATACCAGTTTCAGGTAGCTTTATTGTTTTATTCCACTGAGAGTAAAAAATGCTGAGGGCCGGCCACATAGCTCAGCAGATTAAAGCACCTGCTTAGGCAGATGCAGGGGCTGGGGCTGGGGTTCGATCCCTGGCCTGCCGTGCCAGCCCTGCTGGGCGTGGGGACGCACACATGTAATCCCAGCATTTGGGAGGCCGAAAAACAGGAGGGGTCACTGTAGTGAGACCCAGAAGACCATGTAGACTTTATACTTTAAGTACATTAAAAAGATAAATAAAAAGGCTGAATTTATTCAAGATGACACTAAAGGCATATTTCTATAGTTTACTTTGTTAGTAGTGCCCCATTGCCTCAGAAGATAATTTTAGAGGGCATAGGGTTAGTAAAATATTGACTGTAAATCACTCTATGTTTTCTGGAAGAAAACCACTCTGGATTCAAGGGATCTGAATCAAATTATCCACCTTTTTGGAATATGCTTCTCTACTATGTTTGAGTTGTTTTAAAAATTAACTAGAAGGGGCCGGGGAGATGGCTCAGTAGAATAAGCGCTTCCCTGGCAAGCACAAGGGCCTGAGTTCAATCCCTGGTTCTGCAAAAAAAAAAAAAAGTAAATTAAATTTAAAACATTGACAAGAGTAATATATAGGTTATAAATGTAAATTTGCCTGCTTAATGTTTCTTTAACACAGCCTTTGCATTTGAAAATGTTCACTGGAGAACGAGTTATTTTTAAACAAAATTTTAAGGTCACCCTCATTATTGGCAAGTAAGAGGCAACTAAAAGACAGTATTTTGCCATGTGGTTCCTTGATGGGGCATGAAAAGGGTCATAGTTTTTCTACTCCTCTGGAATGTAGACCTTTTAAAATTTAATTTAATTTTGTTTTCTGCCTTTTTGAGACAGGGTCTCACTCTGCAGCTCAGGCTGGCCTTGAGCTCGCTTTGTAGCCCAGGCTGGTCTCCAACTCGAAATGATCCTCCTGCCTCTGACTCGAGTGCTGGGATTATAGGCATGCACTTTATTTTATTTTTTTACAGGCTTCCTTTGTTTCTAATGTCTAAGATTTATCTCTGGGCTGGGGAGATAGCTCAGTGTCATAAGCGGCTGCCTGGTGAGCACAAGGTCCCAAGTTTGATCCCCAGTATTGCAAAAAATAAAAAAAAATTAAAAAAAAAAAAAGTTTACCTAGGACATTTTCCGGTAGGACAAGTTAATATAAATTAGTTTTTGTCATTTTGTTTTTTGCTCAGAAGAGAACCTTTTTTAAAATACATGATTGGATTTTTACCTTTTTTTAGATGATTGCTATAAGCATGGGATTTTTTAGATACCTTAATATGCAAGTTAATATAAATTCTTTTATAATACTATTAGGCTTTATTTTTTATGGATCATGATTTCAAGTTTAAAATATTTTGAAGTGTTAATTTAGCAGTAGTTTATTGGTGGTGTACCAATACTGACAAGAAAAACAATTTTTGATGTATTGAATTCATTGTAGTATTCAATAAATTCTATTTTAAAATAAAAGTTGAATATGTTGTATTTTGTATGATGAAAAAACAAATGAAAATGACCCAGGAGTACATCTGATCATGGTCACTGATCACAAAAACTGGGACGAACTTACGAAAATGTGCAATTATTTAGGTCTGAAATTATTCTTGAAACCCAGATTCCATGAAGGTATCTGCTGCAACTTTCTGCTGCTGCATATCTTACGTTGCTGAATTCTAATGAATAATTACCAGTGTGCATAAAGACTGTTGTTTGCCCCCTTGCCGGCACTGTTC